ACTATAGTAGCCTCGACATTTTGGTATTAAGATTTTCGTCTCCAAATGACCTCAGGAATCTGCCATTAACGGGTAATACGGTAAGTCTGGGACACCCTGTATATATATATATATATATATATGTATTTGACGAATTAATTGCTGATTGTTAATAAATAATTTATAAATTAATATTTTACGTGACTGAAACAGCGCATTAAAATAATTGAAAAAATTCAATGAGTATTTTAAAAATAACAAATAGGCCTTAATCGAATCATTATTTAATTGCGTTAAAATAATTTCTGCCGATTATAAATTATCTCCGACTACAGCTAACATAAAATAACTTCTTAAAACCTCCCAGTTATCCAGAAGTCTTGTAACACATTTATGTAATATAAGTCATCGCGTGTTGGATAATTTAAGTATTTTATTTCTTTCAACATTAAAAAAATCTTGAAATTTACTTAATATTGCGCATTTCTTTGCACTGCCCGAAACATAAGTAGCAACTCCTCTAATTAAATTTTTGCAACATTGCGGTAATTTTTCACAGGCTTTACTAGCAATAATCGCGGATGTGTGACATATGCAATTTAATAAAACTACATTAGATATTTCAGATTTTAAATGCGAGAAAAAGGAATTATTGCATCCTGTCATTACTGATGCATTGTCGCTTGATATACCAACAATATTTTTTAATGGAATTTCTTTATTTTCCAAAAACGTTTTAAAAGTTTTGAAAATGTTATTCGCAGTACAATCTGTGCCATCTAATGATAATAATTCTAATAACTGCGTTTTTACTTTTTTATTTAAGGGCGAAAAATATTGAACAAGTACACACATTAGTTTCGTATCAGAAACATCTGTACTTTCGTCGATTAAAATAGAAAATGCACGCGTTTGCAAAATTTGAACAATTTTTTCAACTTTGCGTTTGGCAAGGACTTCTTTTACGATGTTAATGCACTTAGTTCGACCCAGTGAAAGATGTTGCACAATTTCAGGCTCAATACATCAGGCTACATACATCTTTTAATAAAGGAATTAAATGATCAACTGTATTAAAAGCGACATTATGCTCCGCAAAAAATGCTGCTAATTTTATCTCCGCGTGTTTTACTTTATCTTTATGGCAAATTTCTACGGGTGTTACTACATTTGATTTGAGGCTTTGACTTTGACGATTGACTTTTTCAATATGTAAGTTTGTTTTGCAAGATCTGATGGTCTTGTTACATGCAATACAAAAAGCCTTGTTCTTTTCCGAATGGGAAGCCAACCATCCTTTAAAAATATTTTCCTTTAACCAAGCAAAATTAAAATTTTTTCCCGTTTTTTAATGGCTTCTTTTCCACTATCTACGTCCATATTGCACAAATTATTGCACAAATAATATTATAACTTACCTGTTTATTGCAATACGTCCCAATTAATTTTAACGATGCTAACCTATACTGGTCACTGATGTCAAGCTGCAGACGGGGCTCATACTGATGTCTGCCCGCCAAAATTTTGGCGCCCTTTACGTTGCGCATGTGTGTATACATCCTTGTATTTTCGCCGCACCTCGCATGCTCGAAAAACCGGGCCAAATTTGGCTGCACTGGCCGCTAGGACCAGCGCCGCCGAGCGTTAGGAGTGGCACTATCCGATAAATGTTGAGTTCTTCTCCCTTGATCGTTAAAAGTTAAAAAAATTTATTAAAAATATTTTTTTTATTTTTAAATTTATTATGTAGAAATATTTCAATAGATTTCCACGTCACCCATGAAGTACTATTGCTATTGAAGAAAAAATATTTTTAATTAATTTTTTTAATATTAATCGGATAGCGCCGCTCCTAACGGTCGGCGGCGCTGGCCCTAGCGGCTGCTGCACGCGCGGTAAGGAGAGCGAAGAGGCGTATACCACTAGAATCGGCCGAAAAGATGAAATAATTCCGAGCTGTACACAATACAGATTTATTTAAAAATAAAGAAAATTTCAATGACGTACTTCATACTTTACAATGCAGAATTGTCCATTTTGATCACAAGCATGATAAAGGGATGAAATCAACATGGTAGTTAAATACACCAATCCTTCTGCATACAATTTTCGTTTTATGGTCATACATATAGCTGGTATGAAAAAAGCATTGCTAAAAATGAGGAATATGGTGCTCATGAAAGAGAAAATGGCAGGACTAGTAACATCAGTGCAATCCCATCCTGTGTAACCTGAGTAATTAGAATGTGAACAATTTGAAAAGTTGTAAATTTTATAACTTTACTCAAGTATCAAAGTCTCTACAATAATAAATTTGAAAAAAAACGGAGTAGCGTGTTTTATTCTAAAAATAAAAATTTTCTTAGTATTCAAAATAAATTTAATTGCTAATTTATGTAAATTATATTAACTTTTAAAATGTTTTTTATGTTAATCTTTGTGATATCGATAAAGAAAATTGTGCCAACAACAAAAAATTATCTTATCAAGAAATTATTATAAGTATCGCCTTTCGATTTTGATTGCAAAAGAGTTGCAGGGCAACTAAAAATAAAAAATACATGTTTTCTTCAATATACTTTTTTGCACGTTTAAAGATTGTGGTAAAAATAAAGCAAAAACATAATTTCCATATTCATTTATTAATTCATTTATTAATAAAAAAAATGATGCTATTTATTGTGCTGATTAAAAATGCTTCCGCGGTATTTATCAGGTAATATTTTTGACATGTATTCCAATTAGATGAATTCATAGTCGCAGTAAGTATAGACTGCTTATGTCGTTCGGAGAGTGTCGCACTGACAAAAATGTTCTGTTCGATTCAACAAATTGTCTATTCAATTTTCGACGAAACAGACAGATTCAATCTATCAGATTCTAGTTGAATCTACCAGAATCTTATTGCATTAATAGAAATTCTGGTAGATTCAACCAGAATTTGTTTTGTTGAAAATCGAACAGATGGTTTGTTGAGTCAAACAGAACATTCTCATTGTCAGTGTGAGAATTTAGAAAAAGAAAGGAAGCTTTGAACAGAATCGTTTTCTCCCTCACATATAAAAAGAAGGTGGTAATATAAGAAAGTAATAGGGGTAAAGTAATGGAATAAATACGTGTATGTGGATAGTAGTCATGCTCCCTCACCTCTATATGTTACCCCTCTTAACCGAGTTGAAAAAAGATAGCGATTTTGTTGAAATATTGCATTCTCTTTCTAAATTTGTACGCCTATCGCCTAGGCGTAGAAATAAGGAATGAGCAGTTTATACTTATTACGTTTATGGATGAATCGATTGCCAATCAATTTTTCAAAGCTCTCTCGCTCGCAAACCACCCAAGAAATGTGTATTTCTCTCTCAAGTTATAAAATACAAAAACATTTTTTTTTACATATTACAGTAGTACTCGTTTGGATATTGTCAAGTAAGGACGTGCTCCGCTCCGCTCCGCAAGATAATAACAGAGTCAAAAGAAAAACATTTACACCGCGTGTGTATGTATATCTTACGTACAGCGTGCGGTGTAAATTAATACGTGTGATGGACAATGTTAACAGTAAGACAACATCTCAAAAAAAGATGACGCAATTCTTGATATCGACAACTTTAGTTGAGCAGCAGCTAATGCACCAAAACCTCTTTGCTGAAAATGCACAGAGATCTCAAAACAAACAAGCATTGTACAATGCGTGGTTCCAGTCAGAAAATGCAAGGAAGAATTTTGAAACAACAGTTAAGCTGTTGCAAAGTGAAATCTTTGCTCTTAAAATACAAATAACCAATCTAAACTCGAACACGAAAGATAACACTGCTGCTATTACATACGAAACAGACGAAAAAGAATTCGCCCGCGAAACAGAATGGGTACGCGTGAAACAAAGCGAGAAAAAGTCAAAGCGCGTGGGCGCTCCGAAACCCACGCACTCATCAGAAAAACAGTCAGCATTCAGCCGGATGCATGATAAAGTGTTGCCAAATCCCTCACAAGTACAACATAAAAATGTGAGTAAACCACCGCCAATCATAATAGAAAATATGACGAATTATCTACAGATGCTCAATGCATTTGCAAATGCAAATATCCCAGTAGATTGCTATCAGAGTAAGATATTTAACAATAGCAAAATTAAAATAAATGCAACCAATGCAGAAGTATACCGCACAATCACCGCACTCCTAAATAAGTGTGATGCCCAATGGCACTCGTTCAAAGATAAACAAACACGAGACATTAGAGTAATGATCAAAGACTTGCATCATTCTTTCGATCCAATCGACATCATAAACCACCTCAACCAAAGAGGATTGAAAGCAAAAAATGCCACAAACAAACAAAAATGGTTCACGGCAGAACAGAAACAGGATTGTAAAGTTAAAGGACTGCAGGAAGTGGTCCCACTAAACATGTTCATCGTGTCATTCGACCGAGAAACGGACATTGGTAAAATATATGACATCAAATCAATGATGAACTGTAAGGTGCAAATAGTACCATTGCAAAAAAATAAAAGTATACCACAGTGTAAACGTTGCCAAGAATACGGCCACACTCACAACTTCTGTCACAAAACACCAAGGTGTGTGAAGTGCAGAAAACAACATCTCACGCGGGACTGCAATAAACGGACACACGCTGAACCAAAATGAATGCACTGCGGAGAAAACCACCCTGCAAGCTATCGCAGTTGCGCAGTCTACAAAGATCTTCTAAAATTCAGAAATAATTCTGGCAAGATTCAAACGCAATCAGTGCTTCAAACTCGTCAGAAAAAAAAACAAGGTAAACTCATCCTCACAGCCGAACATGTTCTCAAAACAAGCAGCAAATACAAACAAAGCAACAGCTTCAAAGTCAAACCGACAGACATATAGTCAGATAACAGCGGGAAACAACCAAACTCGATCGAAACGATGTTGCAGCAGATAATGCAGCGACTCTACAGACTTGAAACTAACATCACTAATGCCTGATTTCTTACGCATTATGAAATGGAATGCGAACGGATTGCTGCAACACAAGGATGAGTTGCAAGCAATTTTAAGCACTGAAAACATCGACATCTGTCTGATATCCAAAACCCACTTTACAAGTGAATCACATATTAAATTTCGAAACTATGTAATATATCACATCATTAATCCTCTGCCAATGCGGGTCGCGGTGGAAGTGCTGTTATAATTAGAGTGTGATGTCCCGACAATGGTAAAATTCAAAAAACAGAACATTATTAAAGAAATCTGTACAAGTCCATCTAAAATTCATCCAAAGAGCAAGATTGAAGTTATGATTAGTGTTAACTGTATTATTAGTTATAAAAATATTAATTATACTATAGCTATAAGAATACTGCATAATTGAACAATGCATTGAACAAATAAGTGAAGAGATAAGAATAAAATAAGCAAAGGTTACCAGACACCCATCTTATCCGTCGGCTATCTTCTATAAACGAAAACGAGCTGCATATCAACTTCCAGCCAAACGATATTCCAACGTATCAAGAAGCCGATGTGACGATTAAAAATCTATGCGATACTCTCGAGGGCCTACTCCCCACCACAAGAGGACCAACGTACACCATCGCTCGTGAGACAGTTCTCTTCCAGCAGACTCACTGTTAGGTCATATTAAATTCTACATACTATTTTTCTCTGCATTGTTCAGTTGAAAACACTGAGTTATTTGGTTTATATTTAGCAGTGTTTTATCTGCATTATTAAGACGTATCTATAAGGCTTTGTTCCTAATTAAAATTAGGTAAGCTAATTTAATCTATTTTATTTAATTTTATTCATATCCTTTTCATACGATAGATTGTTACCTCCTGTATCCCTAGTAAACTCGGTGAATGCAGGGTGACTAAAAAATAAGGAGACATTTCAAATTTCGCGCTAATAGTCGATATTACAGAATTCTCTACACACGTCTAGTGACCAGACGTAACAGAGACAACATAAAACACTATGAAGAAGAAAAGTTTGCGACTCGTGATCAAGCCACATCCGTAACGATTGTGACAAACACTTACTGTAAGTGCAATATACTGCCCACCGCGTTATAACATCTACGCAGATCAGTACTTAGAACTCTTCGAGAAATTAAATGGTCGATTCATCATTGGGGGTAATTTTAACACGAAACACACTCACAGGGGGATCTAAACTAATCACGTCAAAAGGGCACCAGCTGTATCAAGCTGCTATGGACTATGGGTGTGACTTCGTGTCTACTGATAAGCCCACATACTGGCCAACCGACCCAAACAAGATGCCAGACCTGATTGACTTCTTTGTCGTCAAAAACGTCTCAGCAAATTACATAAAAATTAATGAAGGTTACGATCTGAACTCTGATTCACCAATTTTACTAACGATCAGTGACCATATTATAATAAAAGACCAGAATCCTGTTCTGATAAATAAGCACACGGACTGGGAATACTACAACTTTCTTCTGGAGAATAACATTAACTTGAGTGTCCCACTCAAAACAATCGATCAATTAGAAGATGAAGTGTACAAATTCACTACAGCCATTCAGGATGCAGCGTGGAAAAGTACATCTATCATAAAAAGAAAACTCAAAGGACTCAACTTCCTAAAAGAAATCAAAGATATATGATTGCTAAAAAACGCAAACTAAGAAGGCGCTGGCACCAATCACGTGCGCCACAAGACAAAACAAACCTAAATAGGATCACACAACAACTAACTAAAGAGATTAGAGCATTGAAAAATTCCTCAATCAACAACTTTCTTACCGATTTGACTGCAGATAACAGTACGGAATACTCTCTGTGGAAAGCAACGAAGCATCTGAAACGCCCTATCACACAGGTACTTCCGATCCAAAAAGCCGATAGAATGTGGGCTCGCAACAACGATAAAGCAGAAACTTTCGCGGAACACCTCTAATGCAGGTTCCAACCTAATCCAGATTCAGACGAACTACCTGAACTCAGATCAAACGACTACGAGGACACAATTCCACTGGTCACACCAAAAGAAGTTGCTGAAGAAATTCGCACAAACCTCAATCAGAAGAAAGCACCTGGCTTTGATATGAGCACAGGTACAATACTCAAGAAAATCCAAAGAAAAGCTTTAGTAAAACTAACTACGCTAATTAATGCTTCAATCCGATTAAAACACGTACCAGCATCCTGGAAAGTATCAGAAGTAATCATGATACCAAAACCTGGTAAAAATCACAGCGAAGTAGACATGTA